ATCAACGACAAACTGCATTTCTGGTGGTGACTGTTGGCTTTGGCACCTCTAGCAATTACCACATGCATTTACTATGTGCACATATTTATGGATTGTTCTGGGACTATTTGTTTGTTCACCAGTTTTTCAGCTGTGACAGAGAGGGACATTTCAGGTGATTTGCACTGGCACAGGAAGACTAAGAATGGGGAAGCGGTGAAGTTAAAACCTCAACAAATATTAGGATTATGAATAAAAATGAATGGAAGAATCTACTCTAAGCCATATGTGACATACACATGCAACAATAGGATGATTATGATGGAAATATTAAGATTAACAAATGAAAAAAGTAGAAACAGTTTGGAAAAAAACAACAAATCTTAATGTTATTCATACTAAGATATAAACTATCATCGTAAACTTGTTTACATATACTAAACATATATATTTCTTTACAATATAGTAATTTCTAGTAAACAATAATTTATGACTAAGCCATAAATAGCACACATAAATCATAAGACAACAGCATGCATAAGACTGGTGTCTCCAATAAATACATTCTAAACAATAATATTTAAATTAAAACAAAAAATATATAAATTCAGGGATTTAAGAGAGAAGCAATTGTGAAATTATAGTAAACACTAAGTTACAGTAAAATCCTTCTTCCTGGTTTTAGCTAATGAATCATATAAAAAGGGTTTACCAAAAGTTCTTCCTTAAGTAAGCTCTATATGTTTGCACACATGTCACCGAATTTTAGCCTAGTGGTAAGTAGTATCAAGTAAATTGTACCCCACCAGGACATCACACAAGTGATAAACACCTGGTGACACAAAGTGCCACCATGTGGATGAGGATCACCCGTGGAGAGGTCCCGGAAACCCAGTTCAGCTGTTAGGCCATACTTAAGGCCCGGCTATATTTAGGGCCCCCGACAAAAGCCAGGTTGGGGCTTCAAAAAGACTAAAAGTTGCATCCTATATAGGGATGACAAGATGGTTAATCAATGTCTAGTGATCAAAATTACACAGGCACATATTTTTTAGTTTATGTAATTTCCTCATGGGTGAATTTTTTTTTTTTAATTTGTTTCTATGTGATTCATACTAAGATGCCTTGGTGGCATGCATACAGAGATATTTCACTTGCATCTCTGTTGATAATTTATCAATAACAAATCTGCTGCCTTTGTGGATTTTAAGTACACAACAGTGGTTAGGAAAAAAAATTTAAAAATAAAAGACGTATAAAGATGCATGTATTGCACATCTGTATCACTTTTAAAAATTTATTATAAAGATATTAAATGCACAGACTTTTGGGCATCCCTGTAAAGCAAGCAATAAAAGGAACAAGAATTAAAGCTGTACATACTTTTAAACATGCTTATTGTTGTTCCACCTGAGTTATCTAATTTTGGTTGAATCTCAGGACATTACAAGGGATATATTTGCAGCTTTCAGGTTCAAACTACACTAACATGTAACAGATATGCAGCTATGTTATTTTATGAGTGTGGCAATATAATTTGTACAATGGATTATAATTACAGATGTCTGTGGCTTTATTCCCTGTACATCCCCCATGTGGATTCTGTGGTCTCATTTTAGGGAGAAATGGAACTGCTCAGTCATGTCATATAAGAAAATTAATTAGGACTGCTTAAATCAGATGTGTAGGGATAAAATTTGCAGATCCTGCAATCTAGGGGTAAATCTAGGTGAACTCAGAAGAAGCAAAAGAAGAAGAAGAAGAAGAAGAAGAAGAAGAAGAAGAAGAAGAAGAAGAAGAAGAAGAAGAAGAAGAAGAAGAAGAAGAAAAAGAAGAAGGAGAGGATGAGGAGGAGGAGACAAATAATAATAATTCCCTGTAGTTGTCAGATTTTTGGGTATGTCTATTCCATATTTTCAGTATTTGACCAAGCCTCAGAATACAGGAACCTGCAACTGGTACCAAAATGGTAAGATGGCTACCATGAAATTTCCTCTTTTTCTTCTTTTTTTAGTGATCTCTCTTTACATGTTTAATTTCCTGTGATCCATAAACTGGGATGTCAGCCTAAGGTCTGTTTAGAGTTAGGTTTCTATTTTAAGTCTCAGTGAGAAAAAAAGCAAGTTGTGTTTTTTCTGGATTTGATCATGTGACACTAAAACTGGCTTTTTTTAAACTTTCTTGTGATGAATCATATAACACTCAAAATGGCTTCTATTATTTCTGGACTAAATCATGTGACACTCTAAAATAGTTTCTTTTATATCTGAATTAAATTAGTTGAAGTCAGGTGTGGTATGTGAGATTCAGAATAAGATAGTTAAAATAGACAAGGTACATAAAATTGAACTATGGTAACAGTTAAGGCATGCCCTGGAATGTAAAGTGTAAAGCACTATGCAGTAAGCTAAAGCAGCCATACTTGCAAAGCATTCTAGAGTTATGGTGTCAGCTGTACACATTTTGGCTGATTAACTCTTTGAGTCCCAAGGAACGCATCATACGTTCATAGGCTCCTACTAAGAAGCCCAATGAACACATGATGCACCGATTTTATGTCTCTTTTCACTACCCCTTGGGCCTGTGATGCTAAACCCCCTGGGACTCAAAGAGTTAAATAGAATAGGAGATCGTGTGGTCAACAGTACAGAGGTCACAATTACCTAACAGAAAAATCTCTTCCTAATTATTGTGGCCAGGTCAATCCTAAAGCTGTACTTAAGGAGCCTTTTCCAATCCATGAGGTTAGTAAAATGAACAAACTGATACCCAGTGAGTCGTGGACTGTCTCCCAGTACTTTGAAAATAAAATAGGGGCTTTTGAGTTGAAATGTTATAGAAAGATTCTTAGAATATCAGTAACAAAGAAGAGGAGAAATACTGACATTTTAAAAGGCCTGAACATCAAGGAAGATTGGCTAACAAACAACATCATATCCCGGGAGCTGAAATATTTTGGTCATATCAAGCGGCATGGTGGACTGGAAAAATAATAGCAGAAGGCGTAAGAGGAAGGAGGAGAAGGAGCCGATCAACATAAAGATGGGCACAGGTTATAAGTGACTCCTTGAGTATGAATGAAAGTTCACCAGGTAGGAGAGCTGGTGAGAGACCAAATTTCTTTCAGGAAGACCGTGATGAGATCAATGTTCTACAAAGGACCTGCTACATGATGATGATGATGATGATGATAACAATGATACGCAGTGGATTCTTCTTCCTGCTCCTTGTCTGTAAACTCTGGCAGAAAGTTCTGGGTCTTCGTCCACTTCTGAACTTTAGTCTCTTTCCAGAACTTGAGATCTGTGTGCACATTGATTTTATAGACCTGTCTTATTTGTATGTAGAATGTTGGTACCTCACCTCTTAGGTAATGCATTCCGACTTTGAAGGAAACACACTATAATTCTTCTTCTTCTTCTTCGCGTTCACCGGCTGTGAACTCCGGCGGAAAGTTATGATTGTTTGTCCACTTCTGGACTGCAGTCATGTTCCAGAACCTGAGTGTTGTGTGTTCATCTGTTTGACAGATCTGTATGCAGATTGTTGGTTCCTTGCCTCTCAGGCAGATGCACTCCGACTTCGAAGGAAGCTCCCAATTAGTCAACTCTTACGACATGCTTTTGGGTAGGCAGTGGGTCTATTCTTGTTTTTCCCATAGTAGGGCCCCAGAACCTACATGGAGGATTATTCATTCTTACGACATGCTTGTTTGGGGGGTTAGCGACAGTGAGTCCACCCCCCTCCCCCACAATAGGACCCTGAAACCCAGACAGGGATGTAAGCAAAGGTTAAGTAAAGGACCCCTTTCCACACCTTCCAGTGTACTGGGCATATAGGGCTAGATCTATATTTTATAGACCAATCGGCACTCGGTTGGTGATATGGTCAACATCATGCCGGCCGCCTTTATTTCCCAGGATTTTACCTGGTACCCACTCAAGGCTGGGTCCACCTGGGAGCCCGGGTCATTTCTGAAAAGAGTCCTATAGTATCTGTTGCTTCCTGATCTCAAGTCCACCTCAGTTTTCCCCTCAGGGTGGAATATCCTTCAGGCCATCTGCTCACCCCCACCCCTTCCCACTCCCCCCGTCCCACCTCCTTGAATATAATGGGGTGATTGGCAAGTTGTGTTGTGGTTTACAGCTAAGATGTGATGTCTATGCCTTTGAGCTCAACATATCCAATTGTTGTACACCCCTTATGTCATATTCCATGATAAAGTTGCTGGAATTCAGTGCCTATTCGTCCCTCCCCCCACCTCCCATGGGTCCCGTAACGTACACTAGGAGAATTAACTATCACATTAAAAAGTGGAAAGTAGCTATAGTCAATTTCTCTGTCCGAACCATTTGTTACTTTGACTTTTTCTTACTCTGACTTTCTCTGTCAGAATCATTTGTTACTGTCACTTTCTCTGTCAGAATCATTTGTTACATTAACTCCTTCAGTCCTTGGCAAACGCTTCTTCTTGTCTGGTTAACTAGTGGTACTTTTGTTCAAAAACCATGAGACCTGTTTGAAAAAAAAAAAAAACAGGCAGAGGCAGACCAAAAGAAATGATGGTGGATGGCTTAAGACAGTGGCATGGAGGAATATCATACATGAGTGGAATCAATCAAGAACACCAAAGACCAAAATCTGTGGAGATGCATGAACGCCTATGCCAGCTGGCAAGGCACTTGATGATGATGACCTTGGAAACTGAACCCTAGTACTTAAGGATCATAAAACTGTTAAATGCATTTACTAACTTTTAAGCCACCAGACTTATTAAACACATAATGACAAAACTTACAACATACAATTATTGGTACATATGATTAATTTAAGCACACACAGATACTTAGGACAAGGAGTTTTTAAAAAATGTATTTTCACTGATTTTTGTGAACTGTTTTTTTTTTTTTTTTTTTTTCAAATAGACTAATTTAACTTAAGGCAAAATGGCTCAAAAAAGAGCTGTTAAAAAAAAACTGACTGGGAGACAACCAAGCCTTATGCTGCTTCACCTGCCATACCTGGGCGGGACTGCCGCCGAGGCCCGTGGTGGGGTCTCCCTGGCTGTTGGCACCCGTTGTCCAGTCAATCTTAGCGTAGTTGAGGATGACAAAGGACATTTTGTGTGTTACATCTAGTGCCAGGACTGCTTGGAATGTGTTTCTCTGAAAGCAAATTATAGCACCCTGCAGTACACAGTACTTGATTTTCTTACATGAAAACAAGGTGATATGAGAATAATAAGAGAAATGTCTGGTCAACGGCTGGAGTCCATTATTAGAATACAAATAAGATGGCAATACACAGAGCACACCATAAGGAGAAGTGGACATAGAATCTTTAAACGAGCACTGAAATTGGAAACAAGTGGATTAAAGGAAGAAGGACGTGCAAGAAAAACTCTAAGACGGGCGTTGTTAAAAGAGACCAAGGGTGCTGGATTACTGATTACTGATTTAAGAATCCACATTATAGCACACCGGGTATACCCATAAATGCTCCGTCTTCAGAAGTAAATGTCTTAAGGTGTAGATGGTAAATGTTAACGCAGCACACTGATTATACACACATCGTTCTCTTCCTCTCATACGTCCCTCCTTGTCGGATCCGCTTCTAACTCCTTGTTCACACATCCTTAAACATGGTGTTTCATCTAATCTCGTGTCTTCTGCCAACATTCGTTGATATATGGTCTTCAGAATATCTCCCTTGTCCAGTACGGGTGTTCACGTAGCTATCGCTTTTGTAACCAGAAAATCCGCTCTTTGATTCCCTCGTACGCTTGCATATCCCGGACATGAATTCTGGATAGGATCCCATACATGATACCAAAAAAAAATTGCAAAGAATGGAATGAGTTGGGGGAGGGGGGGAGGGGGTGGGGAGACTAGAATGTTTGTGCTATGCTGCGTAGTATAACAGAATCATTGTGAAGCTGATGGTGACCGAATCACAGCAATGGAAGAACGGCACATGTTAGCATAGCTGCCTGCTGGGACAAATGGTCTGGGTTCCTTCTTCTTCTTCTTCACTGCGTTCACCGGCTGTTAACTCCTGCGCAAAGTTCTGAATGTTCATCCATTTCTTGACTAGTCTTGTTCCAGAACCTGAGTTTTGCGTGCACATCCGTTTTACAGATTTCAGCAAACTTGTATCCACTGTGCTTATCAGGCCAATGTATTCCGACAGTGAATGCTAACAAATTAGTCATCTCGTTCCACATTCTTGTTGGGGGCAGTGTAAGCCTATATCCCCCCTCCCCCCACACCCGGTTGATTCCCGGAACCCAGGCATCTATAGGTAAGCCCAGTGTGCTATGATGTCGATTCAGAATCAGTACCTTACGAGGTCAAGGTAACCTATAAAGATCAGGAGAGTGCCCGTTGTGCAGTAACAACATCATCGTCATCTGTTCTCGTTGTGTCTAGTGGCACATGAGGCTTCAGAGAGGACTTTCCATGCTTTCCTGTCCTGTGCAATCTTCAATGCAGTTTTCCATGTCAAAGATGCCGCACTCAGGTCACTTTCCATCGTTCTTCTCCATGTTGTTTTTGGGCACCCCTGTTTTCTCTTTCTTTCTGGTGTCCATGTGAGTGCTGTTTTGGCAGGTTTATCAGGATTCAACAGTAACAACACACATGTTAAAAAACAAAAGTGAATCGATGGTGCAGGTAACACAGTAACCACGGCTGTGCCATGATACATAGAGCCGGTCGCAGCAGGCGGCATCGTAAGGGGCGGCATAAGCAGCTAAATCATTTTGAACTTTTGATCAAATAGCGCGAAGTTAGTATAGGCGGTATTTAGAAGATTTGCATCACACTGAAAAAAGTTACCGCAACTGCAACCGCACAGTATTCTATGATACTGTCAACAAGTGCATTCTTTTTTTTTTTTTTTAAACATCTTTTTTGCCCTTTATTCTTCAATGCAGCATAATCCCTGAACACCAAGTTGTTCTATTCTTTAAAATCGCATTCAGAAGTATTTCAGGATCCTCACCGGTGCAACGGAGTTAGTACACTGCGTTGAGATCCTTCAGACCCATGCTTGAGTTAAAAAGTAGAACGGAGCACTTATGGGTTACGCCCTTGTGTCATGATGTTGATCCGTCGAAAAAAAACATAAACATAAAAATGCAGTTCAGCCCATGTCCTTCCCCTTTTCAACTTCCCTCTCTAGCCAATCTTAGCTTTTTTTTTTGGAAAGGGGGGTGGGGGGGGGGTGGGGGCGCTGCTTTATGTCTACATCTCTCTGGTTCCAACGTAAAGACATTCTAGATGTTCAGTTTTCTCAGTGTGCATCTTATCCAAAGCCACCACCGTCTTCTTTTCACATTTTTATTCAATGGATTTGTTTCTCGTTGATGTATGAAAAATCAGTTTCACCATCAAAACTCGGAGTGTGTTTCATCACCACTACTGTTCATTACATACGTCGACCAAACTTTCGAATCAGCCAACATCAGCGAAAGGGGAGAGAACTGAAGGACTACTACATATACTGTTTTTATGTGTGTGTGCTGACTGTCTAATTTTACTTACGTCCTTTTTAGGACGTAATTTTTTGTTATTTGAAGCCCCACTCTGGCTTTTGCCAGGGGCCGCAATATAGGCAGGCCATCAAAATGGCCAATTGTCTGAACGCGGTTTCTGGGACCTCTCCACGGTGATCCTCATCCACATGGTGGCACTTTGTGTCATCGGGTGTTTATCGCTTGTGTGATGTCCTGGTGGGGTAGAAAGTCAGTCAGTCAGTCAGTGTGTGCTGACGACCAGGCAATCATGGCACCCATACCAGTAAGTACAAGTAGGTTAAGGAACCTTTTCCACGTCTTTGTGCGTATTCGGTATATAGGGTTAGATCAATATTTTATATATCGAACTGCACTTGGTGGGTATTGTGGTCAGCATCATGCTGGTCGCCTTTACTTCCTATGACTGTACCCTGTACCCACTCAAAGCTGGGTCGACCTGGGTGCGAGGGTCATTTTAAAAAAAGTCCGTACCATGCCAGGACCTAAACCCACAACCTATCTACACCCTTCTGTTCCGTGTACTTTCAATTATCTCCAACACAGATGATCTCTAAACCCACAACCTATCTACGTCCTTCTGTTCCGTGTACTTTCAATTATCTCCAACACAGATGATCTCTAAACCCACAACCTATCTACGTCCTTCTGTTCCGTGTACTTTCAATTATCTCCAACACAGATGATCTCTAAACCCACAACCTATCTACACCCTTCTGTTCCGTGTACTTTCAATTATCTCCAACACAGATGATCTCTAAACCCACAACCTATCTACATCCTTCTGTTCCGTGTACTTTCAATTATCTCCAACACAGATGATCTCTAAACCCACAACCTATCTACGTCCTTCTGTTCCGTGTACTTTCAATTATCTCCAACACAGATGATCTCTAAACCCACAACCTATCTACGTCCTTCTGTTCCGTGTACTTTCAATTCTCTCCAACACAGATGATCTCTAAACCCACAACCTATCTACGCCCTTCTGTTCCGTGTACTTTCAATTATCTCCAACACAGATGATCTCTAAACCCACAACCTATCTACGTCCTTCTGTTCCGTGTACTTTCAATTATCTCCAACACAGATGATCTCTAAACCCACAACCTATCTACATCCTTCTGTTCCGTGTACTTTCAATTATCTCCAACACAGATGATCTCTAAACCCACAACCTATCTACGTCCTTCTGTTCCGTGTACTTTCAATTATCTCCAACACAGATGATCTCTAAACCCACAAACCTATCTACATCCTTCTGTTCCGTGTACTTTCAATTATCTCCAACACAGATGATCTCTAAACCCACAACCTATCTACGTCCTTCTGTTCCGTGTACTTTCAATTCTCTCCAACACAGATGATCTCTAAACCCACAACCTATCTACACCCTTCTGTTCCGTGTACTTTCAATTATCTCCAACACAGATGATCTCTAAACCAACAACCTATCTACGTCCTTCTGTTCCGTGTACTTTCAATTATCTCCAACACAGATGATCTCTAAACCCACAACCTATCTACGTCCTTCTGTTCCGTGTACTTTCAATTATCTCCAACACAGATGATCTCTAAACCCACAACCTATCTACATCCTTCTGTTCCGTGTACTTTCAATTATCTCCAACACAGATGATCTCTAAACCCACAACCTATCTACATCCTTCTGTTCCGTGTACTTTCAATTATCTCCAACACAGATGATCTCTAAACCCACAACCTATCTACATCCTTCTGTTCCGTGTACTTTCAATTATCTCCAACACAGATGATCTCTAAACCCACAACCTATCTACGTCCTTCTGTTCCGTGTACTTTCAATTATCTCCAACACAGATGATCTCTAAACCCACAACCTATCTACATCCTTCTGTTCCGTGTACTTTCAATTATCTCCAACACAGATGATCTCTAAACCCACAACCTATCTACATCCTTCTGTTCCGTGTACTTTCAATTATCTCCAACACAGATGATCTCTAAACCCACAACCTATCTACGTCCTTCTGTTCCGTGTAAAGTAAAAGTAAAAAAAAGTAAAGTTCCCTTTTCACGCCTTTCGGCGCATCGGGCAAATGGGCAGAGCGTCCCATATTTTTACAGACCATCAGCACTCTGTGGGTAATGTGGTCAGCATTACGCCGGCTGTCTTTACTTTCCCAGGACAGCCCATCCTGGTATCCATTTTAGGCTGGGTCGACCTGCGACGTCCCATACCACGACAGAAATCCACGCAGCCTTCAGTGGGTTTCGATCGCGGACTTTCAATTATCTCCAACACAGATGATCTTCTATGTCATGATGTGTGTCCAGCATCTTCTCTCTTGTTCTCCTTCTGCCTCTTTTCTCCTCCAACTTTCCCACCGCAACGATGTACTCCAGTCTTCTCCTATTGATGCCATGACCAAAGAAAACATATTGCCTCTCTCTGATCTGGGTAATAGTTCTTTTTTTTTTTTTTTGAATGGCAGTATCCTTATATTCCTTGCTTCCTGTATTCACTTCGGCAACAAACAGGTAAACGTATACATAGTTAAGTTAGTTGCGTATCCTTTACAGGACGTTGCAGAACCAACCCCAGCATTTTTTAGATCTTGTGATTTTTCTAGGCAAATTTACGTCCAGTAGTTTGCCATTGCTTGCTGGGCGGTCGGCTTCTAAATATCACTATCAAAACCAACGCAAGGCGCAAGACCCGCAGCTGGGATTAAACCCGCCACCCCGACATTACGATTCGCGTTCGCAACGCCTTAGCCACAAACGCCGACATATACATAGTAACCTACCTTATTTTTGCCCTCTAATTCAGCGCCATAAAAGCCAACCTCGTCCCATGTGGCCACAAACACCCATTTCGCTCGAAAGTTTTTGATTGCAAACAGCGTCCCGATTTCTTGAGTAGCCTATTGTTCAAGGATAAGAAAAATATGACATTGTCAACAAGAAACATAAAACATATTTTCTTAACTCTAAATGCCTGGAGGGACACTTATTTTTTTTTCTTTTTCTTCTTTTTGGCCACGTTGAGAACATCAGTGGCCTGGAGCTGTCTTTCTGATTTTAGTCAAACAAAATAAAAAGTCGTCAGTCACGTTGAACCAGCTTCTTTCGAAAAAGAAGTTTTTGGTTATAAGTGTGATTGTTTCTTGCGCCACCTCTGTTGGCTAAAAATTGGGCTTGCGTGCCATGTTTATTTTAAATTAGTGTCCGTGTGGACATTTTTGTTGTTGTTGTTATTTTCTGCTCGTCCACGACTGGGCATTGGTCCTGTTGTGGGTCTTTTTCCATTGGAGCACACCTCCTGTTGTTTCACCACTACTGAAGTATTTGCCTGGTTTGTTCCTTTGATATTCCATTATACTGATTGGTATTTTAAATATTCTGTCCAAACTGTGTGTTTTCCAAGTCAGTTTGTTATATCCCTCTCGGAGTAATCAAAAACCATGTGTTATGTCCTACCGGTGAACTGGCTACGAAAAATCACACAGGGCTGAAGAACTGGCCAGAGAAATAGAGACTTTCAGGCGTGCCGTGGCGAGAGCGATGTTCTATAAAAGACCTGTTGATCGATGATGATTCACAGGAAACAATATCACCCAGGAGCGCCTACTTATCGATGGTGATTCACTGGAAATAACATCACACAGAACCACCTGCCGACCGATAATGATTTCCCTGAAACAACATCACCCAGGACCAGCTGCTGAGCTCTGGACCTGCAAGTATGCCTCCACAGTGGCAAACGGCAAGAACATGATGATGATTATTGGCAGACATGTTTTAGAAGATTTTGGAGGCAACTTAGATATGGTTCTTGAGAAGAATGTTGCGAATACCTTGGACTGCCAGAGTAACTAACAATGGTTGTCTAGAAGTGGTTAATTAAAGTAGAATATTATGTACAACAATGAAAAAGAGACAAATTAAGTTCTTTGGTCATGTGATGAGAAAAATAACACCGGAAAATATCGTGACGAATGAAAAGATCACTGACATTAGGCAGAGGCAGACCAAGAGAAAATATGGTGGATGGCTTAAAACAGTGGCATGGAGGAATATCATCAGTGGAATGGATCCAGACCATCAAAGACGGAGATCTGTAGAGATGCATGAACGCCTATGCCAGCTGGAAAAGCATTTCATCAGGACTATTCAAATGGCGGCCACTGGGCTTAATCTGGCCCGCGAAGGCATAGCAAGTGGTCCGCGCATCACCGCCACTTGTACCCAATTAAAGATCTTTCTATCCTGGGCTCAAGCCTCTGACCGGTGACGTTCCCCATTTTTTAAAATTATGGCCCCTGATTTAACTTAGTTGAACAGCCCTGCATTTGATGGCGATGATGTTCCAGCCAATACAAAGATGACTGATAGTACATATCCCCACCCACTACAGAACAAAGAAACACAACACACCTTGTTTAACATGGCTGGGTCTCTAGTCTCCCGGAACCAAACGTTTCCACTTGAATTGACTAAGTACACGTCCGCCCAGTATGGTGCAATGATGGGGATCTCCTGCTGCAGTGGAAAATTTGAGGGTCTGTAGGTCGTCAGCTCTGCCACGAATGAGATGACACCGTTGTTGTTTACCTGAAAGAAGGATACGTTTTCATAAGTGCCATCGGAATTGGAACTCTTCGATTCCTGCTGGAGATGGGGACGGAGCGCTTATAGGGGTGTCCCATAAGTTGTTTATCTGAAAGAAGGATACGTTTTCATAAAGATCGCTTCTCGGCCTTTCTTCTAAGATCAAAGTGTAGCTCTGCTGCCCTGGTCTTGCCGAAGGAGACCAGAATCGGTCACAAACCAAGTCACGGATAAAACCTAATCGGCAAAGCCGATTAAAAAAAAAAAACAACCTTTGCCGGGCGGTTTTCCCGTTCAGTCCGGATGAGGTTAGTTGCGTATCCTTTACAGGACGTTGCAGTACCAACTAGGCAAATTTACGTCCAGTAGTTTGCCATTGCTTGTGGACGGTCGGCTTTCATGATACCACTGTCGAAACCAACGCAAGGCGCATTGTGAACAGTGCTCTTTGGCAGCAAGTGAACAGTGCTCTTTGGGAGCGAGTGAACAGTGCTCTTTGGCAGCAAGTGAACAGTGCTCTTTGGGAGCGAGTGAACAGTGCTCTTTGGCAGCGAGTAAACAGTGCTCTTTGGGAGCGAGTGAACAGTGCTCTTTGGGAGCGAGTAAACAGTGCTCTTTGGGAGCGAGTGAACAGTGCTCTTTGGGAGCGAGTAAACAGTGCTCTTTGGGAGCGAGTGAACAGTGCTCTTTGGGAGCGAGTGAACAGTGCTCTTTGGGAGCCAGTGAACAGTGCTCTTTGGGAGCGAGTAAACAGTGCTCTTTGGGAGCGAGTGAACAGTGCTCTTTGGGAGCGAGTGAACAGTGCTCTTTGGGAGCGAGTAAACAGTGCTCTTTGGGAGCGAGTGAACAATGCTCTTTGGGAGCGAGTAAACAGTGCTCTTTGGGAGCGAGTAAACAGTGCTCTTTGGGAGCGAGTGAACAATGCTCTTTGGGAGCGAGTAAACAGTGCTCTTTGGGAGCGAGTAAACAGTGCTCTTTGGGAGCGAGTGAATAGTGCTCTTTGGGAGCCAGTGAACAGTGCTCTTTGGGAGCGAGTGAACAGTGCTCTTTGGGAGCGAGTAAACAGTGCAGAGGCAAAGTCTGAAGAGAATTGCGCTGGGAGTTACAACGGGATCTGGCCGGCGCTCAACACTTAGCGGAAAAGCGAGACAGATACACAATCAGACAGTTACTGGTGCCATCGGAACTGGAACTCTTCGATTGCTGCTGAAGATGTGGACGGAGCGCTTATGGGGGTGTCCCGAGTGCTGGGGTGTCGATTCTTAATTCAACATTCAACAACAGTTAAAATTTAGGAGTCTTTGCCTTCCTCTGATAATGATGCAGAAATCAGGTGTCATATCTTTGAAGAAGACTGAATACAGTGGATCTCTGACACGTCTCAACTCGATCTCTCAGCTTGACTGCACATTTTATGAGACTTGTTCTTTTATCTTTTGATGTTATTCTCCCACGTGTACGCTGAATACCCATTGCTCGCTTATTTTCACCTTCTTCGGTCTATATGTTTAAAAAAATATGAATTATGTCTTCTAATGTGGCCGATAAAGGTCACTTGTTTCTCTTTTTTTGTTTTTGTTTCTTTAAGAAAACATTTTCAGTTTTAATTCGTACCGATCCTCTCAATTCGACAATTATAGTTGCTTTGAGATACTGTCTTTTCTTCTGTACAATAATAACAATAAATGTGCACTTAAACAAGGCCTAAGCCCCGCTTTATGGTAGTTGTAAATGCTTTAGGTACGTTGCAAACCATCCTCTTCAGCACTTCTTAACCGTTTGTGGGTTCACTATGAAATTTTTACTGGACCCTAGTAATCGAGGGTCATAAAACTGTTAAATGCGTTCACTAACGTCTACGCCACTAGACTTATTAAACACATTGTGACAAAAGTAACAAAACACATTTATTGGTACATATGATTAATTACGCCAATCGGTTTGCTTCTTTCAGCTGAAATGCTAATTGAAATGCTAACGAAAGATTGACAGAATACTATGGACCAAAAATATGTGTGTTTTGTCCATCAAGATGAGGATGACCACTCTATTTCATCAAGTATGAGTACGAAGATGACTGATGAGGCCGATGCGGACCCGAAAAGTTCTTGGACAGTGAGGACGGGGAATGAGTGTTGTGCCAGGGAGGGGATCTCCTGCAGTCGCCTTTCTGTCCATCCCTTTCTTAATAAGTCTTGCTGTTCTGTTTGCTTCACATGTAGCCGCACCCTTGTGTAGAGCTGCACGCAATGCATCTTGGTCTTGAGAGGCAGCCTCCCAATTGGTGTCATTCATCCCAAATGCTTTGAGTGAAGACTTCAAGGTGTCCTTAAAGCGTTTCTTTTGCCCGCCTTGGTAACGTTTCCTATTTTGCAGGACCAAAAATATCAGAAATTCTGAGATCCTAAAAGATCTGAACATCTAGTTAACAGTAGTAAACAGCATCTTGCCTCAGAAACTGAATTATTCCGGCTTTTAAGTATCCAGAAAATATAAGTGGTAAACCCATTGGCTCGGTACTATGGATTTCGCAACCCTTCGGCCTTGATTCCATGATAGGTACCGTAAATCTGGGAGAAATGTAGCTTTTCTGCCTTCCCCCGGGTGTGAACCCAGACCAGAAGGAGTTCATCACCCGGACGCCGTGCAGTTAGCTTAAACCAACTACGCTAGCGAGCCGGGTGAATACATAGTGTCACGAAGGAGAGACAAGGGCCGAACAGCACAAAGATGGACAGAGGATATAAGGGATAACATGGGTAGGAAAGAGCATGCAGCGAGAGACCGAGTTTCTTGCATGTGGGCAAGAAGAGCAACGTTCTGCAAATAACGGGCTACGTTATGTGATGATTAGGACGAGTAATAAGCTACTGCTTCCTCAACGGTTAACTCAG